TCGATTTCCCCTTATTTTTATTTTTCTTCTTTCTTTCTTTCTTTTTTTTTTTTTTTTTGATATTACGTGCTTGCAGTGCGCTTGTTAACGAGACAAGCGACACGACAACACAAGGAAATCGTGCCACGCCGTTGGCAACAATCGAACATAAGATCCTGGCCAGGTAATCAATTTCTTCGTAGGCGAAAAACCGCTTCGATAGTAACACGCACGAGAAATAGCTCTTTAGTTTATCGGTAAACAAATTAGACGTGAGAATGCCATTGCACGAGATCGTAGCCGACGATGTTAGAATTTCAAGAACGAGCGCTGGTAATAACATTATTTTCCCGCTAATGGATTTTGTGATCAGGATTCTCCACGTTCCTTGAAATGTTGACTTTTACAGGCTAGCTACAGGCTCGTATGAAAATCTGTTCCTGATTTATTTCGTTGTTTCGTAATTTATTTCATTGTTCCATCATTCTGAAAGGCGTAAAGCTCGCCTTCTGAGATTGTCTTAAACTCGAAAGTATTTTTTAATGTAGCAAATACATTATAATAGCTGATAGTGAATTTTCTTGATAAAAAAAGCTTATATGTATAATTATGATGATATAATATTTTTATAAATAACTGTAGAGATAATAGTAGATTCATTCTTTATTATGGATGCAATAGACTTCTACAAAGATTATGTTTTGCTCTAAAATTATTTATTGCTATTGTATATTGTAGCTACTGTAGCTAATACGGAAGTTCATTTTATGAAAATAAATTTAATGGTATGTAATTCTTTGAATCGAATAAAATTACTATTTTTACCAGAAATTAATTTTTACAAAAAATGTTCCAGGAACATAGTGCAAAATCCATCGAAATGAAAAAAGAATGATATTGGAAAGAAGTAGATTATTAAAAATCCTAAAAAAAACTCATTAGCTGTTTTCTATTAACAGATAAAGAGAAAGTAAGAATCAACATCTTCTAACAATAAAATGTTAATTATCAATTTGTATCTGAATCCTGGCGTACGTTCCTAACACAAGGTGCAAGTTCGCACGATTGTTTAAACTTAAACATTCAAAGTCGTTATCAGCCAGGAACACTGACTGAATTAGCAAAGCATTATTTACTGATGTGTATTCTTATGAGGATTTGATAATACTTATTGCGCTTAGCTGTGTTTTCTCAATTTTTGAATTCTTTTTAGTACATTTTATTGGAAATAATATGACGTTACATCATTAATCACTAGACGCTGAAAATCACATGACACCACAATAAGTAACGTCACCGACTATTAACCATTGAAAATCATGTGATATCACAATAGCAGCTTCAGTCTTTAATCGCTGAAAATTACATACGCCATAAGAACGTTTCTTCTTTGTTAATATATCATTATGGTGTTGACGAATGTTATCAATAAAAATATTCGCACGATATTATATTTAATATTGTTTAAATTTGATAGATCTACTATTTTACTAAATATGGTATTTGTCAAAAGCTAAAATATATTTTTGTCTAAACTCAATATGTAACATGAAATAGGATTACAATATGAACATATCAACATCTTGAAAAATAACTTTGAAGTTTTGATCAAAGTGTAAGATACGGTTCAATTACTAATAACGTGCTATACGCGGTGGCCACGCATAAGTGACCGCTCGTTAATGGCCATTTTCAGGCAACTATATACTGTGTACGTTGGCGACCTTATAATCAAAGACATTGACAAATCACTGTGTTTCGTTCGTCGACTGTTCCATAGAAAGAAACGACACCTTCTGAGAACCCATCATTAGGCGTACGTACGTGCCTCGAAACGTATCTTTATCCTTACTATAGTCGAGCATTCGATTCAAAAAATCGTTCAGAGCAGTTACGCGCTTCTCGTAAAGGGTGATGTAACCCATCAAGTGAACGTTTGCGTTTGTTACTGTTAACATAATTGGGAAGTTTTTCTGTTCTAAATGATTAAAAAAAAAAAGAGGTAGAACGAATCTAAAATTCCAAAAGTAATGAAAATAATACAAGTAAGAAATATAGATCATATATTATATTTATATAGAATTAAAAAAATATAGATATTTATGTAGATTAAATTCAATTTTCTTTATAGAGTCGCACAGAGGACCTAAGAAATCTAGAATACATCACTCGCTGCTTACTGTACCAGATAAACTCAATCAACAATGAACACTTTGATCGCTGGTCAATGCTCAATTTCTTCGCGACACAATTCCAGAGAGAAGACAGAGTTTATTTCTCTCTTCCGCTATGGCTGCTTGCTCTTGCAACTCTAATTGCTGCGATTAGTATCGACAAAAGAAATGCGAACAGGAGAAACGAAGAGAGTTATTTGAAACTTAAGAAAAAAGTATGAAGAGTTTCCCTGTCGTGAACAGAAAGAAGCAGAAAAAGAGAAGAAGAGAAAAAAAAGACGGAGAGAAAAAATAATTGGACGCAATCGAATGTGATTACAGCACAATTTGACGGTCGCGTGCGTCGTTTTCTTAAATCGCGTTCGCGGTGGCGCCAAGCGTGCAATCGTCGGGCGCACGTTCTTCGTTCGTGTTAGCATTCAACGCGTAACCCGGATTATTCTATGCTACATCGCGTTGCACTCCACCTATTACGCGTATATTGCATCGCGTATGTTGCATGCACGCGGTACGCGGCGTTAATGCATTCCAGAGGAACAAGGGGTGCGTGCTACCAATCGGGCGCCACCTCTGGCCACCATTATCTCCGTAGATCGTTCGAATCTCCCTTTCGAGGGGAATTCCGTTATTACAAACCGGTGGCGGTCCATCACTTATTTTGGCACCGTTATATCTTACCTCTTATTTGCTTATCGAGCACGTCGTTCGCTCGTGAACATTGAATTTGATTTTATAGCTCCTCACGACAGTCGATAATATACGTTTAGCGGCTTATACATTCACTTCTGCTAATAAGTAACATGTTCGTGACTTTTAGGATAAATTATATCCTTCGAAGATTGTAGACACAATTTGCTATTATGTGGGAAAATAGGTGTGTCTTAGAGTGCGTAATATAAGGAGTACACTAAGCATATTTCTTTTATCAATTTTATATTTAAAAAAATGTGATCTCCACAAGTGCAACTTACTATTACGAATTCGCAGAAACTATTATTTTAGAGGAATTTATAAATTGGATGACATACGAAGTGGAAAATGTTCCACACAATTCATGTATCGCTTGCACATTAATTATAATACACAACATTTGTTTCTGACATATACAATATGTCTCAACGAAAGTAAGATGAGTCTAAAATAGATTTATTAATTTAATAATTATCAACTAAATTTATTAATTTAATCTTTAATTACCAATGTTTCATAGATGACTATCAACGAGTTTATCAGAACTCACAACAGAGTATTCTTCATTATTATTCTACTATACTACTTCTATTTTGTTCTCTTTCCTCTTTACGTTTGTTAAAGTAGAATTTATACGTACAATCCGTCGATGTTAATTGAATTAGAAGCTACTTAGAGTGATTTATATGGTTGTGCCTTATATCTTTTTATGTATCGAACGATTATGCTTATTCAAATAAGCGCAACAGAGGTGAGGCACGTAGGAAATGGCAACGAGACGACAACAACGACGATATTTCACCGATGGTAATTAGCAACGCATTTCTCGACGAGGCATTCAATCATTTCAACGAGGGTAATTACTGACACGGTCGTATGTTCAAGATCGTAAGTCAGAGGTTTCACATTCCGTGCAATGCAAATGCATGATGTAACGATTCAGGCGCCTCTTTTGATGGATTTGAGGCGCCTTCTTTTCTGTACAGAGGCGCGCTCCTCCTTGTTAAAAGACGCCTCTGTTCCAGCCGATTACCAGTGAATCATTCCCAGTAGTACACAGAACTTCGATTCAGGAATTTTCGTGTAGATATTTGCATCGTTTAAAATCAATTAAAATAAATTGCACGTTCTCTACGTGTCTACATTGTCTCTGCCTGTGTGTGACAGTTGGCGAGTGATCAGCGTACTCATTGGAAAACACGATTAATACTATACATCGACGCGAAAGATATATTTTATTTATAAAAATGTTTGCATCTAGATTGCTAGAATATTAATGCGTTTTTTCTTATTACGTTATTGTGACTCATTTACCTATTTCAGTGCTGTTGATACATTTACTTAGATTTATTGTAGAGAGTATCTCTTTGTTGAAATTAAAATGTTAAAGTAGTGTAAAAGTTCCTACTTTCATAGTAATAAGACAACTCGTTATATATTTTTGAGCACGATTGAAATTTAAAAGTATCCTGCTGTAAATTCCTTTCAAAGGTAGCACAACGATCTCTGCTGCCAATTATGGTTACAAGGAATGCGATTCGCTGTTATGCGTAAGAGGTCACGAAAGATAGCGTAAATGCGTCAGCAATCTTCCTGGAACATCAAACGATGTTGATGGATTCATGGAAAATCGTGAGAAAGAATTAGTCATCCGGCGAAATGTTCAGCCAGTTTTAATTTTCATTCTTCCGTTGCCGTGTCCATTTAAAGGGAAATCGTAAAAATGACAAATACCTCACTACGCTTGAGAATCTTTGTAAAATGATTCATAAAGATTAATCATTATGGACGTGTGACTTCACTCGCGATGAGACTTCCAATTACATATTAATTAACTAATTTATTAGTTAAATTAATTTCATTACTATTTTTGACAGGTTTGCCATTAAAAAATATTTCACATACAACATTATTCTAATTACATAGTCTTAATTAACTAGTTAAATTAATTTCATTACTATTTTTGACAGGCTTGCCATTAAAAAATATTTATCACGTGCAATATTAAAAAAATGTTATTAAACTAACATAAAAATAAAAATAAAATATAAAAATGTTATTAAAAAAATGTTAATATTGTAAGAGAGTAACCAAATATCACTCTATTTGAATCAACGTTTAACATGTTGTGTATGGTATGTGGGCTGTGTGTTTCAGGAGGAGTGTAGAAAAAGGATAGCCGAGTGCACAATGAGTAATGGTGCAAGTACACCGGTATGTGGGAGCGACGGTGTTACGTATTCGAGTCAGTGTCAGGTCATCTCAAAGCAGTGTCAAGGCATGTCTATTCTTATCAAACATACTGGCCCTTGTCCAGGTAATTGCATTAGAATAGCTTGGTAATAATTATTAGCAACCAGCAATCCATCCGATTTCTTTTTATCCTATATTATAAACAACTTCTAAACGAACAAAATTTTGTTACTCAGAATATTCCAAATGATTGAAGAACGTTCTTTTCTTTTATCTCTATCCTCTCGCTACGATCAAATCGATGAAACAGGATCGTGTACTATAACTTGCTACGTTCGATAAAAAGGAATCGTAAGAATGTACGCTCTGAAAGATACGAGTAGGAAACAACACGTCTGACACAAAGAATCACATAATTGAACCTGTCCATCTAGAGACACCAGCATGCTTCTCCGCAAGATTGACCGTCAGGCCGGGTGCACGGCCAGTCTGTCGCTCGGATGGCACTTACGCGCCGGTGCAATGTCACGAGGAAACCGGGTACTGTTGGTGCGTAACACCGCAGGGCAGACCGCTGCCCGACACCTCGGTAAGAAACGAAAGACCAAGATGTGTGAAAAAACCTGGTCCCAGATCTACTGCTTCCACCAGGAGCGGCCAAAGGAGGCGCTCGCCCAACTGGAAGCAGCGAAGGCAGTACAGCAGTAAGCACAGGAATACCTGTGATCGGGCGGAGAAGTCTAAATTCAACGGGAACCTCATCGAGAACTTCAAGATCGAGTACAGGCGGACGAACATCTCCGCTGATGGTGAGGGCTCAAGGAGACGAACTCATATCACAAAGAATTGGAAATATTTCAGTCGTTGTTTTGTTATTTAGAATGTCTAGCTGTTACTATCTTGAGGTACTTCTCCATTTGATAGTTAAATTGTCGCGAGTTGCTCTCGAGAGTATTTCTCGCAAATGAATACTGCTTCTGAGAGTTACTGTCCGAGAGCATCGCTCAACTGTTTGAAAGAAAAAAATGGAGAAGTACCTTTTAGTCGAAAAGAAAATTGAAATCGCGAGCTCGGGTCGAGCGATCCTGAAAAGTGATGTGTGAAATTTTTAAAATTCGATTTCTTTCTTTTGTCGATGAATTATGCATCGTATATCCCACTGTTGGCTTTTATTTTTTAGTTTTTAACATTAACTTGTCAACTTTCTATTTTTTCTTTCGAAACAGGTGACAAAAATGTGGAAAGAGTGTTGTCGTGGAAATTCGTGACGCTGGACAAGAACGGAGATGGATATCTAGATAGGGCTGAGTACAAGGAGTTGAGGAGACTAGCGAAGAAGGCGGTAAGGCCGAAGAAATGCGCTCGCACGTTTGCCCGCACGTGCGACCTAAATCGGGATTTGAAACTCTCCAGGCAAGAATGGGGTGCCTGCCTTGCGAACGACTTCACTCGTAAGTTTAAAACGCGGTGCACGCGCATCTTACACCGTAAAAGGCAGAATCTCCGAGGTCGTCCCTCGTAGATGACACTTGCACGATACTACGATCTTTTTTCCCTTCGTCGAACTAAAACGATTGTTTAAAACAAATTTATCTGTTTCTTTTTATTACGTCTTCTCTTGATTATGTTTCGAAGAGGTTTTCATCGGTACAACAAGTGTATTGTTGAACTCGGGATTATCAATTCGAGTTGCAAACACTTGCCAACACCGTTTTCCTGGTAGGCGAGTGCTCTCAAGGTCACAGCCGAGGCTGATGAGTGCATAAATCAGTTTTGAACACGTTGATATTTGCGAAGCGGCGCGTCGCCACGCTGTTGCGCCACGAAAGATTGTCTCCTCTAGGATCTCGTTGCTTTGGTATACAGGCTGATTCAAAAAAAACCATAAGCATCGTAATTCTTTTACGGGGAAGAAGCGACAATAGGAAATTTTACATTATAATTGTGTCTAAAAGATCCTGTTCTATGTATGCGAAAGTTCATTTCTTTTCTTCTACTTTCATTTGGAAGATAATTGTAAGTAATGCGGGATTTTTGAACCATCCTGCGTAATCTCACATACCATCGAACGTGGATGGAAATTTCTTTTGTTAATGAAATTCAAAATTCCAACGTGTTTCATAGATAATCGGAAAGAAAAAGAAAGAGAAAGAAAGGATCCAAGATCGTTATCGTACAAGAATCAAACACTGCAATGTTAATTCCAATGTGACACACGCCATCGCGCATCCACGGATGTTTAGTAGAAGTTATCGTTCGCTCAATTTCGAACGCTCTTGTAAAACAATAAACTGATATCGCGGAAAGCATAAATTCGCTTTTATGGCAATCGTAAATTGGGATTAACATCACCATCTGTACTAAAATGCCTAACATGCGCTAATCTATCTACTCGTGTGGCATGGTGTGCTCATTTCCTTGGTAAAAGGTGCTGCCGGGTCGCTTTTTAAACTTGCATGCGTGTATCTTGTGATTCGCAAATCCATCAAATTCCTAAACCCTTTCCCTTTCATTGTCAGTAATCGAAGACAGAAAAGAATGCGACAGCTGCAATTAAATGCGAATTTGTTGCGCCTCTAATCACCGGCGATGAAATTACAAGCACGTAGCAAACACGTACAATTTATTATTTATCTTACGAGCGGACAAATCTCTCGCAAAAGAAGCATCATTAATTCGACACGCGATTCTTCGATTCTTCATTTTGTTCGACGTTTTTTGTAATCACCATTTACATAAACATTCATCTTTAAAAACTTATTTCTTCTTCTTTTCTTTATGCGATGATCTTGTGACATTTTAATATGATGTGGTCGCAAGTTTTTAACGTAACATCCAATCAATAGTATTTGACGTTCATTGTATACGAAATTAATTTTTCTATTTTTTTTTCTATTTTTCATTTATTTTAGGTTTTAGATTATCTATTTTTTACTTATGTTAGATTTGTATAGTTTGAAAATGATTTTGAACGGTTATATGAATTTTCTGATATCCGTACCAGTTATTAGGATCGCGACACTGAAATATTCCGGAGTTCCTTTCATTTTTCAATTCCCTGCATAATAATTGAAGTAACTGTAAAGAAGATGTGTTTCCCGAAATATGCAAGATTTCAGATTCCATTATTTCAGCAAAGTTAAAACTCCAGTCCAGAAAGGTACGATCGATTGAAGTCTAATCGGCAAAACTAGTGCAAACTTTCTAATTCAATCACGTTTCGATTCATCCATTATTCATTGACACAAGGAGACATGAGAAGTCAGGAGAGAAAAAAATAGGAGAAGTCCACTTCTAATGATACATTTGAAACCTCGTTTCAAGTTTCGAAGATTGATACCACGTGCCGTATGTTCGTTTCCGCAATTGAACTTGAATATCGCTAATGAATGTTTACAACCTCCAAGTTACAAATTATCAAATTGCAAACAAATTCTTGCGGATAACAGTAACAAATTTAATATTGAGACAAAGAAAGCAAATTTTATAAATCACTTGACTACTATACACGCTACTATTAATCAAATTATTTGACTCTCAATACTATAGAATTTGATAATGAAATGTTTGATATTTCATCGTGCACGAGCAATCATACTCTCCATTGAGATCTTTTTTTTTTTTTTGGAGAGATTCACGTGATAACACCACCATGAAAAGTTTGATACAATGATCATTGTGTAATTTAGATTAAATTAAAAATTAGTGAAATTATTGTAGAAAAAGGGAAACGTTCGACGTTTTATATCCTGCGTCGAGCAAGCAATCGTGTTCAGTCGGAACCATGTTTCGGTGAGGGCTTGTAACCCCGGTGGATAGTTTAGAAGTAGTGTTCATTGCAGTTGGCGTAGGCGCGGATTTACGAAGCGACGCGTCGTCGCGCGGGCGGTCATTCTCGTACGGCTAACCGCGAGTACGAAGCGTGCATGCACACGAGGTCAATTGCTTCAATTCCAACGGTGGCCGGTCGCAGTGTGGGCAAACTTCCGGCAGGATTCACGAATGTTAAGCGGGCCGGCTACAGAAGACGGCCCTTGGCGTGCGCGACATCCTGTCCCGGCCACCGTTTGTAATTTATACCACGATTTAGACACCGACCACGATGACCAACGACGACGATCTTCCGGTATTATCCTCCAACGACGCGCTATAACTGACACGCTTTGCAACAGTTTTATTTATTGCCGCATTCGACAACTTCCAACCAGTCGCGACCTGGTACTTCCTGAATGTTGTGCCCGTACTCAAGGAACGACAAAGAGATGAAAGTGAGAAATATGAGAAACAGAAAACCAGCTTCATCGGGAGAAAATTAACTTTTCATCAAATCAATAGTTTCGTATTTTTAGAATTAACAATTTATTTGTGTAAATTGGATGTGGGACATTCTACTCTCCAGTAGTGATTTATCGTTCATACAACTATAGAAGATTCAAATAAGGTTCAAATAATCGGATTCATTTAACCGACTGAAATTTGATTCAAATGGAAAGAGATTTCTGTTGCACATTCTTCTATGTTGCTCCCGTATGATATAGATATAGATATGATATAGATCTGATCTTCTCTTTGAATTTTTACAATTCAATTTGAATTTTATTCAAAATAGGGCAGCGCTACTCTTCCTTTAATAAAGCATTGTGCGATACAATTTGCAAATTTATTATCATATCAGAGCAGTTTAACGATTTGTGTTTCGATGGTAAATGTTATTGGAGAAACCTTTATCTATTGGTCTACTGTAGAACACTGCTTGAGACTCCGTGCTTTTTTCTGTCCTGATATAGTTCGATAGTTGATGTGAGAGTAGATTGGTTGATACGTAGAATCGTAGAAGCCAATTGCATGTTAAGTAATCACGTTCGACCTAGGATTCTCCGGTATCGGCTCGTGGTGGACCCGAGAATAACTTCCAGTTGTTGCTATCGACGACTCGTGTAACCACGATTCTTTCACTCCCCACCGACACTCCGTAGATTCTATTTTCATTTTGCCCGTAATATCAGAGAACGTCGAATAAAACGGTAGAACAAAAATGAAGAATTGTCTCGCTCTGTTGGTACACTGTGAAATAACACTTTATGCACGAACGAGCATGCACTTGTTGATCCTTCGAGTTGAGGTATCCAATCGAAGAGAGCGTAGACTGCAGAAACTTAAGAGCTGCATTCGGAGAAAAATGTCTCGCGGAGTTCCGTGTTTCTTAAACTCTATGATGCTTCGAATTTCTTGCACTTCGAAGCTTCAGAGGCTACGGAGATCCAGAGGAAATTTTGAAGTTCTTGAGACTTTAACCTCAAAGGTTTAAAAAGTTCTGAAAATGATCCAGAACTTTAGAGCTCGATTCCAAGATTCTAAACTTCCGGATGTTGTTCTTCAATTGTTGTAAAGTTACATTCTTCGTATAAAGCTATTACTAACTGTTACTATATCGATTGTTTTCTCCGAATGCACATCCCCTTAACGATCGCATGGTACTTCACTGATGACACGCCAAATCAGCGCATGAATCCTTCTGACAAATTTGCTACCGGTGGACAAATGAAGTAGGATGTACACAGAAAATTAAATTGTAAATGTAGTTTTATCACATGTAAGAACGCTGGAAAATGAGTGTTTTTGGGGGAAATGACGGGGACAGAGGAAATGAGAGAAAGACAAAGAGAGAGTGAGAAAAAGACGTGAGTGTTGCCTGAGAATTCTTATCTAGCGATCGACCCTCCACTATCCGATGTTCGCCACCGCTCGCTGCTCTGCTAGCAAAACCTGCGATGCGCGAATGACAAAAAAACATTGTACATATAGGTAAGGCCGGTCGGCTGAGTGACATCATTGTTATCATTTAGTACGTTTGTTCTTGTCGCTGAACCCTGCAGACGAGCGCCCCGAGGTCCCTGAGGCCCAGAGGACCCGGGTCATGGACCAAGGTGAGTCCTAGTTCTGCACACGAAAAAAAAAAAAAAAAAAAACACCACTGTGTTTTTTTTTTCTCTCGAATCTTTCGCTTATCGTCGATTGTCTATTCACCTGTTGTGGGATTCCTTGTGAATTTTTTTTTTCTTTTTATCGCGTTAATGTGGTACCATCAACGTCAAACATGTATACGCGTGTACAATATTTTTCTGCGATAATCAATCGATTCGATGTTCCGTTTCTCTTTTCTTCTTTCGTTCTTTATTTTTATTTCTGTTATTATGTTTATTGTCAAGTGAATATACGATACAAATTTTTTCAGTTGACTTAGTTTTAAAGAATCGGTTTTTTTTTTTTTTTTACTCCGAGAAAGTTGTCCAAGATATACGTACATGGAGTGAAAGAGAAGAACTTCGTAACCTAATTGTTTCTATCAGTTTTTAAATCATCGCTGTGCTTTGAGCAAAATTATTTTGTCTCACGATCCACGTGAAAAAATCCGTAGGAATCCCCGTAGCACGTTTACTCGAGAAATTACTCTTTACATCTTTTTTCATATTCTTTGCGTAGCTAAAAATAAAATATAGTTCAGAAGAAGATAAAATATATTTCAGATGAAAATGTATCAGTTTCTTTTATGATAAATTTATTCGTACAGTTTCAGGAAATAATAGACTTACTTTAAAACGATCCACATAGCAATGCTTCCTTTCTTCATAAACATGTTTGATTTTAATCGATAAGACAAATAGTCTTTCTACGTGTGTCTTTTTGTGCGTCACCACCCATTCATTCGCGACGATCGACACAGTTTTTGTAAAAAAATCATTTTCAGGAAAAAAAGAGGCAGTACTGCACATTAAACTATTGAACTATTTTATCATTCGTAAAACGCATTTATTCAAATATCATGCACATACTGTGTAAAAGAAAACAAGAAGGAAAAAACATGTGTGCGCCTGTGTGTGAATCTCGTTGTTCGTTGGGTGGTGACGGTCACTTTAAAATTATCCTAAAAAAAAGCAAATGTGCGACATCGTGATCATCAGCGAATGTAAATACGAGTCTCTTTTTCCAAAATTAACCGCTGCATTAACAGATCGTATCGAAAATTGTACAAAGAAATAAAGATCTTCATCGTGTACATTGTCTTAAAAATAGAATGTTTCGTGGAAAAAGAAGAACGAGAAACGTCATGTGCGCCTTGTACATAACAATTAACATTAATCTTAAAATTTCGGTGAATGGGCCGACTGTTTATTGACTTTATTGTTTGAATGGAAATAACAAAGATACTAGAACTTGATACTATTTTTCGTTCTTCACAGTGTTGAAAGGCAATCCTCCTCCGATGCATTCTCGACCAACGTTCAATGATGATCCAGTCGATACGAAAGAAGATAGTGACGGTGAGTTTCGTAATTACACCTTAGATAATTTAGATTCATAAAGTTTCGTAATGATGATAAAAAGAAAAATAACTCAGCCGACATTTTAATTATTTTCCCTGATTGTTTATTGAACTCAACGAATATCAATATGACAATTTACAGCAAACGATTGTTTGACGGACAGACGATCCGTACTGGAAGACGAGAGGCAACATTCTCAGGAGAAGTTTTATATACCTGAATGTACACCTGACGGAAGGTATCATCGAGTACAGTGTTATTCTGGCTACTGTTGGTGTGTATATCAAGACACTGGTAAACCAATACCAGGTACATCTTCTAAAGATAGTACTCCAAACTGTAATCCAGTACCTACTCCTAGTAGACCCATGAAAGGTAACTAAATTACCTTGAATGAAAATATTTTTAAGAATATTTTCCATGAAACGATGAGTATTTGATTCTGATACCAGGTTGTCCTGAACAAAAGAAACAATTGTTTCTACGAGATTTAATGGATTTGATGTACAAGAAGATGAAAGCCTCCGGCACGGATTCCGATGAAACGACGGCTAAGTGGCAAGCTTCTAAAGAGGAACAAATAGCAACCTGGCACTTTGTTATGCTTGACAAGAACAAAAATAAGGCAAGGATGAAAATATATTTTTAATAATGTTCTAAATGCTTATACTAAAACTCAGATTGATAAAACAAACTAATATTCATTATATCTTTTTTCTGTTAGGTTCTAGAAAGGAAAGAATGGAAAAGTTTCCGCACGATGGTAGCGAATAACAGACAACTTCAAAAATGCGGTAAAAGACTTCCTAGATACTGTGATATTAACAACGATAGAAAAATCAGCATGACAGAATGGTTCAGTTGTTTGAATGCACAACGATCTACAACATGTAATTATTTTAAATGATTCGTTCGCATAATTTTACAATCAAAATTATATCTTTTTCTTTTTAATTGAAAATGTTATATTATTTCAGCCGAGAACACGGAAAAAACATCAACGAGTAAACCGAAGAGAACAGGTCCGAATCCTTTAGATCAGTTTCTTAAGAACGACGATGACTGATGTGTGATATGAACGTGTGTTCGTCATTTTATCAATACGTGTAGTGATCATTCATCTAACATGTGAATCGTAACAATGGGACTTTCAAAAGAAAGCCAGTTACTATGTTAAAAGAATTTTATTTGTATTTTTATATTCGGTGATAAATGTCCTTTTATTTTTAATACGAAACATATTTCTGTACCTCACAGATATTGATAACTCGATAGTTTGTTTTAGCATATATAGCTGTGTGTGTGTGTATATATATATATATATATACACATAGCTATAATAAAAAGTAACAAAGTATTATGGCATACAATTGTGTACATATTTAAAAAATTTTTTTTTCTTGTTTAAGCTTTCTCATGGCAAAGATAAATGGAAACATGTAAAATTGAATATACAATTGCTAAATATGCTATTAAACTCGCTAATTGCCTGGCTCTTTGTTGTACGAGTATCATAAATAATTGTTTAATTTAGATTTATTTAAATTTAATTCGTATACATTTTAAGACTTCTTTCATAACTATAAATTATATGTCATTATCGATTCAAAGATCATTATAAAATTGAAATTTGTTCCACGCAACAAAATTTTATTATGACAAGACACAATCTAAAGCAACAATTAATATTTCAAATATTATTTTCAATGAATTTACAATTTACAGGCAGATTTGTTAAAATTATTAATTTGTATTGCTTTGTAATAACCACAAATACAATATTGTATTTATGTGAAAAAGATTCCATGTGTAAAACACGCAACATTTGTAAAATTAAAATGAGGATATGTACAAAAATGAAATATAAAGTATGTAATTATTTCTGGAAGGCTTAAATCAGAAGACTACTTCCGTTTGTACAAAATTTATATATATACACAAAAGTATATATATGCATGTAAGAAACTTTTACATCTTATTCCAAGAATACATAACAAAACTTTAAATTTAACATACCTTAATATTATCGAAAAAGTTGAAAGTTAGATATCATATGGCTTATCAAAATTTTAAAAGATGAGAAAGTATGAATAAAGGGCAGTCTACGTTTATGTAAACAAAATATATCCTAGAATACACGGTCTTGGTAACCACTGTCAGCCATACTAGAACTAGGCTTTGCTGGCCCTCCAGGTACTTGATGATGAGGGTGACGTATATGACCAGGACGTCTTGGTGGGGCTAAGTACTCGAACATACTCTGTGTATGTTGCGCCAACATTTTGCTAAGATCACAAGGCATTGGATCGGTCCAAAAAAAGTCGTGATTCAACGCAGAATCAGAATCAAATCTTTTAGATGGATCAAGAATTAAAAGTTTATCTAACAAATCGCAAGCGTAAGGATCCTTTAGATATGGTTTCAATCTGTCTTTCACCTGTATAAAAAAGGATGTTCATTTCTAATGCATTGTTTATAAAGACTTTTTATAATAAATTTCATTAAAAATGAAAGCACTAATTACCTTTCGCTTTTGACCTTTGGGCAAGTCCATTTTATTAAATAATTCCAAATTTTCTACTCCAGGCCATACTTCTGTTGTAATAGAACCACATAATTGAGAAATTAATATCAGCTGTTGTTGCTCTGTGTTCCCTTGCATTATTGGTGATCTGAAAAATTAAATAATGAAAAGAAATGCCAATCCAACAATAAATATTGGCAAAAATATTATTTAAGGATATAAACCTGGTCCACATTTCAGCCATTATACATCCTGCACCCCATAAATCAACAGGAGGGCCATAGTTTCTATCACCAAGTAGAAGTTCGGGTGGTCTGTACCAAAGAGTAACAACTCTATTTGTATAACGATTTGGTTGGCCATTTTTATTTGCACTGAATGCACGAGCTAAACCAAAGTCAGCTAACTTCAATATACCATTCTTGGTTATTAAAACATTTGCAGCCTTCATATCTCTATGCAGAATCTATCGAAAAATATGTAAATTAAAAATTATTATTTACATTAAACAAACTATCTTCCCTTCATTAATTATAACAACTTAAATATTCTTACCTTATTACTATGAATATAATAAAGACCATTTAACAATTGTTGCATAACTTTCTTAATTTCTCCTAAACTAAATTTGACATTCACATTTGACAATAAACCTGCCAAATCATGTTCACAAAAGTCAAATACAAGATAGAATGTAGAACGATAACGATTATACTGAGTTGCTGAAACGAAATTTTCAATTATTCACTCTTCTATATCATTTATATTATGCAATAACACCAAAGATTTTTACCTCTTGTTCTACATATTTCTATTAAATTTACTACATTCTCATGCTTCAGTAACTGTAATATCCTTATTTCTCTTAAAGCAGTTATAGGAAACTATAAACAAAAAGAAATCACTAACATTACATTACATACTTAAACAAAGAAAAACAGTGAAATATCTTAGATTGTTCATTTCCACATCTTTCATTAATTTTTATTAAGATACGTAATACATATAAAGTTTCTTCAAAAATGAAATAAAAATATGATAAATCATTATTTTTTTACGCTGAAAAAATATTTTATTCATTCGTACAAATGGACGAAGTGGACAAAGAATAGAAAGATGTAGATCGAACAATCAAACGTTTGAACGTATACATACCCCTTCCTTTTCATTGTCCATTAACACTTTTTTCATAGCTACGAACTTTTTTGTACAATTTTTATCTCTAGCTTTGAACACCTCCCTACAGAACGATAATGAAAATTAAGAAACAATGGTTTTTCTACTCGTATAACCTAAAATCAAGTGAAAATTTTCTATTAAACTTACCCGAAGGTGCCCTGGCCAATTTTCGCCACTTTCTCATATTTCGACGATTCGTCACAATGAGGGAAATCAAATTCTTCGATGTATTTTTCCTTCTCCTTTGTGTTCATCTTTGATACTCATCGGGTAAATATAACTTTTACACATAATGCTATCGTAGACAAGAACTCATGATTGTCATGAAACTATTTGACAATGCTCGGAAACCTAACCTCAAAATAAAAAATTGATCCTGATCTGCGCGCCACCTAGCAGCGCCAGTGACAGACAGTCTCACGCTTTCGCATTGGAAACGGTCGTCGCATATTTATGCCTTTTGAACAACAAACAAGCGAACGTTTGGCAGTATCGTACCGTTAATATCCCCTGAATTTCGTATCTTACGCATCGGGCAAAATGCGCGAGAGTATTGTTGCTCGTAATACCGCGTAATCATGTTATGTCCCGACCGGTGTTCGAGAACCGAAATAATGCGAGGTACGTACATATGTACGAAATACGATCAATAAATTATTATTGAGAACGTCTTGTCAGGAACGTATATTTGAAAAAAAAAATACTTCGATTTTCAAACACACGTTATTCAAAACGTTTTTACGTATTTAGAATTTTCTTGAAATGGATAGGCTACATCCAAATCGTGCTATTTCGAGTGTGTTGCTTGTAGTATCGGAAAGTAAGTCGTATATGTTGGATACGTACGAAGATGCTCTAAATGACAGTTAACAAGGTGTGTTCGATCAATCTTTTTTTCTTTTTTGAAAATTAACAACACATCGTTTCACAGTGGTACGTACCGCATTTTGTTAATTGTTACGCGAGATTTCACTAATTGATTGATTCTTCGATATTCGATGCCACTTTGTTCGATGAATTTCTTTCCGTTCGGTGTTTAGATTTCTACTTTTGAACTGTGCCAGGACCACATGGTTATTTTTGGCCTCCGCGCTGCAATTTTGTTCCGGATTTCAGATTTACGTTTCAAACATTCAGCGTGAAACATTTCGTTTGACAACCCGTGCCCGATTATGCATTTAAATTTTAGGTTAAACGAAATAAGCTATCAGATGTTATTAACTTTAACTAAATGTTACGCATAGTTTTGACTTTCGACACAGATTTTTGCAACAATCTATCGTTGAATACGCAATTTTTGAAACTTTGTAATGTAATACATTCAGTATGATATGGAATCACTATTTAAATATTGAGGGTACTGTAAAAGGATTGGTAGTAATTATTATGCGAGGAGTATCCATTATATTGACCTTGAAATTGTTGTGTACTTTGTCAGCAATACATACGATAAAGGAAGAGTCGTTTTCATTTTATTAGTAGTTTGACTTTTGAATTCTATTGTTTGAAACAAAAAAAAAAAAAGAGTCAAATTATCACAATAAAATTTCAAATCGCAAGAGTAAGAAATGTTTGTATACAAAAAGTATAATTTATATAAAGTATAATTAAGTATAATCTACATAATATCTTCTTTAAACGTCTTCTTTAAACATTCACTTAGACTTTTTGTTTGACCTTCTTTCTACATAAAAGATTGATGGATTAAAGGTGAACAAGTATGAAAGATTAAACATGTCTCATGGCTGGAGGCAGGGGCAACAACAAGCAAAATTTAGACAGAATACATCAATGGCTCTGTTGCCATCAACTTTATGCTTCTGTCAAGCCTGAACCTCCTTCCAGTGAAACGTTTAAAAAATACCAGAGTATAGAAAAGAACCGGATTGTTACAAAAAGTCTGAATGATCTGCAAGATAATATTTCGAGGTAAATTCAATAATTTCCTATTGTTTAATTCATAAATTTAAATTAACGAATAATTCATCTAAGATGATCTTAACATTATTTGTTTCATACAATATGTGAGATAAAGAAATATAAATATATTTATAAGAGCCCTTTGCATGATGTATTTAAGAAGTTCAAATGAATTATTTTGTGTTATGTATTTTAATTTATATAACTGACATGTATAATATTGAGTATTTGAACAATGAGGTGTATTGTACAAAATTATACAAACACTTGAGAATTTTAATTTAAAAATATTACTTTTAGCAAGTTTTATTTTATGCATCTGTATAAAAATTGTTTATATAATTTATTGTTGAATTGTATCCAAGGAGAAATGTATGTGTATAAAGCATTATGTGTACAAAATATAAGTTTATAAATATATAAACTGAATAGAGTGTTTTATTGTAGCATATTTACGGACTCTTTGTATTGTGATCTTAACATAGTACATGGACATAATATAATACGAACAAACCAATGTATTGTTAAAACAAGAGCTCCACACTTTTACAAGGTTCTCAAACCTTATTTTGTATACATTAAGAATCATATTGATTGCATCATTGATAAACTGGAAATTTTTCATCATATAGAAGGCTTTGTGAGGTACTGCCATATCTCTAATCATTTATATAGAAGCAGTATCTATGAGAACTATATATTTATTTATTTACATATTGCAGGTTATACCTACAATATGGACTCTTGTATAATTCAGGAACATTTGTAAAAATTATAGATATTCATTAAAATCTTTAAATATATAAAATGATGAATATGTTACTTTTTATATCAAATAAATACAAATTTTCCTGAATTAACATTTTCAAAGTTCCATGTATTCCTTCATATAAATTACAAAATGTTTACCTGCATGCATTTTGTGTATTAAATTGTATATTGAAATTATTTCTTTAATAAAATGTTATATATTGTTTCAACCATCAAGAAATTGTTGTTTTATATATATTGTTTTATATATATTGTTATCTAGATGTAATCTCACTGCAATCAAATAGAATTTTCCTTTAATTGTTAACTTAAAAAATTGTAAATAATCTTTATTATTAATGATATAAAATTATGAAATGAATTATATTTTTCATTTCCTTATATATTTATTTTTATGCAGATATAGTAACTCTAAATATTATTCTATCTGTATAATAAGACATACATTACTCTATTTAATAGTATTTGTTACAACAGCCAGCATGTAATACCTAATTTCTCACATTCAAAATAAATGTCATGAATGCACATGATAGAACAATGTATAATAGATATATGTCTTCTTCCATTTCCATATATGTTTTACATTTTTTAACTCTGTTTTATAAATTTTCAGGCATTTATACAGCAATTCAAACTTCTCAAAAGAAGAAAAATTGTTAGTAGAACATATTTTGAGTACTTATACCTCAAATCTTGTGAATGCATCTTCTGATAATAAATTAGACGTCGATAAAAGGTTACAATTTAGAATTATAATATCTAAAAATTTTAATTTTATATATACATATATACATTGTTTTAAATAGATGATAATATTTTTAATAATTATATCTTAATAACGATAAAAATATATTTATGTACATCTGTTAAAATTTTTTTTTATTTATATTTATAAATATTTGTTTTTATGCCAAAGATATGTGGATTATACAACACCAGACTGTCATTCAAAAAACATTGAAAGTATAAGAAATGTAAGAGAATATGCTACTGTGGATATAAGTCCCACTGTATCCGATATGGCTGATTCTGGATTAGAAACTGGTTCTGTGAGTCCACACGAAAATACTACATCTGAGAATTCGAGTACTGATTTTGAGGAATTGCAAGTCACGGAATATGCTTCTGGAAATGATGATCTGGATAAAGTACGCACCAGGCGCGTGCACAACAAAGATCAAAAAGTAGTTTTAAAAAATGAACGCTATGATTTGACTAATAATTATACAAGCACATGCCATATGAAGAACCTGGTAGACTCAGGATTAATGGAATGTGGTTCAAATGATAATAGTGCAACAAGTTGTTCTTTTGATGCAGAACAACCGCAATTAGATTCCTCTAGTTCATCTACGGATAATCTTCAGAAAGCAAAGTCACATACAGACGAAATTTTTCAATATGAAAACCAAGTACTTAGCGATCCGTTTTACGAGTCAGACTGTGGAAGTGATGAAAATGAATCGTTTGAATTTATTAATATTGGTAATGCGTCTTCTGTAAATACCGAACAGAGTTGCGTAAAGGAAGAATCTACGGAAAAATTGGAAGACGAGAAAATGTGTCATTCCAGTTATTCACAAGCTGAAAATGCGCAATCAGAAAATGCAAATCATGAAGTATCACACGATACACTCAATCAAAAAAGTTCCTGTAATACAAGTAATTATTACTTTATTGATGCATCGACCCTCAATGATGAAATAGAAGTTCCAACTTCCAACGTAGTAAAAAGTAGATTCGATGAAAAACCACATCCATACGTTTCCTATTCTTCTAAATATGTTGCAAGTACATCTAATGATCTCACCGACGAACAATATTACAAATTCACACCTCTTAAAACAAGCAATTTGCAAACAGGACATGAACGAATAGCAGAATTCGAAAAAGAATTAAAACTTACAGAATACTTAGAACCACTTACCGACACACGAAGAACAAAGAGAACTGATTCTGTATCTGAAGATAAAGTAAAGGTTGAAACAAATAAAGAATCTCTAGCTGTAGAAATTAAGGAAGCAGACAGTGGCGAAAGCGCGCATCCCTCCCCTTGTCCTGACAATAATAAAAATATAAATAACGATCGGCACGTTATATCGCGAATAAATAATGATAACGACGCAAACGTGGCTATAGACGATAAAAAAGAAGCAGTTAAAGAGAGAGACGATAAAGATACAAATATAGCCGATGATACACGACGACCTTCCCTCATCAGGAGGAATACGTTTGAGCTGGACTCAAATGACGAAAAGCTTTCAGTTTTACGGCAAGAATATGAACGACGACAAGGTAACTTGGTATTTCAAAATGCTATACCTCAATATTCAGGACATCGTGTCGATGGCGATTCATGTTTTAATCCACCGGACGAACCTTCAATTCCGATAAGTAACGTATTAAATAAGTTTCCAATTGATGTTCAAATTCCGACTGGCAGCCAGTATCATACCATGCCATATGTTCCATTAGACAATGCAAAATATGAAGATAATCAGACGCCACCAGAGAATAATAATTCTTTGCAAAGTAACACCAGTATAATTTACCCGGTAACGAAAAGTGCTAGTGACGAGGTTGTCACGAATTATCATTCTGAATTGGACAACGAGTCGAGTAACTGTAGCAACAGTTTACCCGTTACATTAAGTTGCATTTTAGAAAAAGACAGTAGAACCGACACGATAAAGAAAACCAAGTGTGACGAAACTATGCCTATAATTTCCGGTGGTGTCAGCACTTCGGACTATTCGAAACCTACTGATAGTCCCACTGTGCGCCGAAAAACGGAATCGACGCCAATCGTTTCTGGTGGTTCTGTTATTATGAACGAACCCGAAATGAAGGCGAGATCCACAAGAATGTCCTCGTCTATGACTGCATGGGTGGTTGATATGAGCGACTGCAACAAAAGCGAGTCCAAATCGCCAAACAACTTTCACGCAGGAATGTCTCAAAGTTTTTCAAATTCGGAATGCACGAAGAAAATAGCGAGGAAACCAAATGGCCATGAAAAGCATGGTAGTCTAGGATTTTTTGTTAATTTGAAAGATATGGATTGTAAACCTGTTCCTCAGCAGCAGAATTATTCGATAGATAAGAAAGAACAAAATGGATGTAGTAAATCTTATTGCGAGTTTTACGTCGACATGTCCGGTACAAGTAACGCGTCGAAAAATAAAAAAACAGAAGTGGACGAATCAACTGTTAAATCGGAAAAATTTAACGAGACCAACGATAAGAAAAATATTTTCTCCATGTTCATTGATTTAAGCGATCCGCCTAAGAGCAGAGAAAATATCGTACCACCTTCACACAGGAGGAGCTTCTCTGCATTCTCTGACAAACAAATAGAAACGAAGTCTGATGATACTAATTCAAGCGAGAATAGTATCACGACAAGAGATGATCAGTCATCGAGTGAGCAGAAATGCGTCAGAGAAAAGGCCAAACCAAGCGTCTTTATGTATATAGAATCTGACTCGCCGGTGGTAAGAAGAAGAACTTTGTCTTCATCGCGGCCAGCGTTTAAGCGACATTCTTGGAACGTTGATAAAACGCAAAGCGTTAGCAACAATGGACATGTCGCGAAAGAATTAATGTTTAGAAAGGAACACAAACGTGCACACAGTCTGTCCGTAGATCGGGGAGACTTAAAGAAGCTACGGGCAAAGCCTAGTTCTTCGAGTCACTCTTTAAGTGAGACAACAAAACCAGAGTCTGTGACTCAAAAAAATTCAAAACATCTTCAAGAAGGTAATAATGGGCCAAGTAACATGGACACGTCTTCAGAAGATGTTTTTGAGTTTGATGTGAGAGATACACCTCCGAACTCTCATGTTGAAGTGATCAACGAAGAACTACGTGTGAGTATAAAAGAACATGAATACACGGAATTAAAAGCTGAGAGGATTACGGAAAATCTCAATGCCAATGATATTAAAACGTACGACGATGAATATTCAGAGACTTCAGCCTGGGAGAAAACCTGTACAGAGAGTACTGAGGGTCAAACGCGCAAAAGCGAGACGTTTGACATCAGTAGTGGCAGCGGTCCATCTCCTGACAGCGATAACCACGACTATGAATTATCAGAACTTTTGAACGGAGAAGTGCCAAACATAAGTCGACCACAAGTGGTTCCTGCTGTAGGTAGTAAAATATCAGAAACGCATAAGTCTTTGAATGAAACGATCAAGAAAATTGAAAGCGAACTGGAGAGTTCAGATTATGCGAAGTCAGAAACAGCCTACGATAACCACGGTGTAACATCCAAAAAGAATGAAAGAACCGCAGCACACAGTACGAAAACTACAAATTCCAACTTCGTTCGATTGTCTGACTTGGATAAAACACCCGTAGTTTCTCATTCTTCGGACATGTTGACTGTAAAAGAAGATAGAAACACCTATCGTATGTGCAATAGTATTCCAGAAACGTCCTGGATTGAGAGCAAACTAGTAATGTCTAGAACTAATGGATCCGTTAGACCACTTCCTAGAAAATTCTCTTCGATCATGAGTACTTCACTTCCATCTAAACAGAAGTCTCCCCTTGAAGATCTAACAGGAGAATATGATGGAGAAGGTATTATATCAGAATCTGATCTAAGCAGTATGCAGAGTAGCATGGGTCGTTCTGGTGCTGGTGTGTAATTTATTATATTGTAAAATATAATAGTTACAGAGTGATTACATATCACTAAAGTATTAATTCTTATTTTTTTTTCTCTTTAGAAGGAAGCACAGAGGAAACTGAAACATCTAGCTTGGCGGGAAGTAGACCGTACAATAGATTGGGAGAAGATTTGTTAAGAATGTTCTTAGAAGAAATCAATCCAGATGTTACAATTGACGTAGCTGGACGTCGTATAAGGGCTCACAAATGTATATTGAGTTCTAGGTGTCAATATTTTGCAGCGATTCTCAGCGGTGGATGGATTGAGAGCGTAGGAAATGTCATTTCTTTGCAAGGATATTCTTACGATGCGGTGCATTTTGCATTACGTCACATATACAGCGGAGAAAGTAACATACCAGATTCCATAAGTATTGTTGAATTAGCTACATTAGCTGATATGTTATGCTTGGAAGGTCTTAAAGAGATTATTGGATATACGCTTAAAGTTAAATATTGTCATCTATTTCATAAGGTACGCTTAGGAGATTTTATACTTTTATAACAAAATCTTGATTGACTGTTTATTTATTATCCATATCAATTTGCAGCCTTGTCAAATATGTGCCGTTGGTGTATTGGAATGCATGCCCTTGGCAGCAGCCTATGGTCTCGACGAAGTGTATCGAAAATCTCTTCGTTGGGTTACGAGACATTTCGTGCGAATATGGCCGTGCAAAGCATTTGCGACGCTTCCCAAAGAGCTCATGGCAAAATGTTACCATCAACATATTGTACATATGGTACGTATTAGTTGACGTATAATCATTTCATAAAATCTACAGTAATTGTCTTTTCCATTCTTACTGTCAATAATAGTCAACGGACAACGTGCTCCAAACTATGATGGATTGTGATAAGCTTCTTGCAACTTTGCCAAATGTTCGTTGGGCTGAACCAGTATTTAGAATGGTTTCAAACTTGTTAGAAACGTCAGTGACGTTTTTATCGGATAATTTCTCAGGAGTTTTGGGAAACGAGAACTTCCAATCTCTTGGTCGAGAATTGACATGGAATATCAGTCGATTGGAGGATAATTTCTTAGCAGCTGCCGAACGTTTGCCCCCCGAACAAGCGTGTAAAAGTTATTCGAAATTGCATAAAATGTTAACCTCGGCACAACAAGATGAAGCTCAGGACAAAATTAAATGGGGTCCTTTGTTTGTTGATTTCTTGAAAAAAATTCAAAGTCGAGTAGAGAAATGTTTGGTTAGGGATGCAGCGCGAGCTGCTAGGACTACTACATGGTTGAAAATGGACTTAGAACTTCGGCGTAGAATTCAAGAGTTAGCCTGTCTTGTAATTTTACCTCATGAAACGGCGAAACGTCAGTCAAGGCACTCTAACTTCATTAAAGTAAATAACATAAATGATAATTTATTAAATACTTTTTATCGTTCTTTTTCTAATATGCTTATTTTTATAGGAACCTAGGCCAGCATCAAGTCGCTCAACGATCACTAACAGAAGCTTGGATTTGAAGCGCGTAAAAATGGCTATATCTGAACATAATCATAAAACTCTAAAACAAATGGCAGTAACTCAGCAGCAGCAGCAGCAACAGCAGCAGCAGCAACAACAGCAGCAACAGCAACAACAACAACAACAACAACAATCGCAACAACAACAACAACAACAGCCGAAGAAAGTTTTTAACAAACCAAAAAGCGACCCATTAGAACGTAAAATGCAGAACGATAAACAAACCACTACAGATACAACAAGTAGTAGGCCAAAATCATGGCCTAATAAATTAGAGGTAATTTTCTATTGTTTGATCATTATCATAGTGTATACTAAAGAACTATTTAAGCATAATGCAAAAATTAAAAATTTTTCAAAATTACTCATACATTAACTTTTAGGTAAAATCGAGATATTTGGAACCTCGGAACAAGTCTGTTCCGAAAGAAACTACGCAATCAGTAAATCAAGAAAAAGGCATGGTACTGCAACGACGAAAAATAATGATTTCATCTTCAGATTCATCTCGCACATCCAGTCCGGCAATGAAACGGGCTACCGATAAAAAACCATTGGCCAAGATAAAATTACCTATAAAGAAAGATGTAAAAGCTCTTTCTTCGGATAGTTTAACAGAATCAAATGCCAGTAGAACAAATGCTAAAAGCGATTCGATCAGTAAAAGTTGCGGTATCACGCGTCCAGAGTCTCCGTCTTTTAAGCAAAAAAGTACGGAGATAGGCTTATCTGTAGATTCTTTGGCAGAATCGAAAAACAAGCCAACAACTGTAAAGAAGAAGGTTACTAAAATGGATACTTCGATGTCCACGGATAGCCTTATGACTGAAATAACAACAACGCCCAAATCAAACACTTCAAATAAACTTTCACCGACTTTAGGGAAAACAATAAATAAAGCACAATCTTATGATAAAGGAGCAAAGAAGAATTCACCACCGATGCAGCAAAGAAGTCCACTTACTGCGACAAGAAGACCACGGAGATCGTTAGAGAATTCGACCGCAGCTAGTAGAAGCCGAGCAGCTGCTATTAGCGCTTATCATTTACGAAGAAATCTTCTAGATGCTGCGAAAACACCAGATATCCCAAGTAAGTCATTAAATAATGTATCGCATAAATCGGTAAATATGCGGCCGATTATACAATCGACGGTTAATCATCCTAATGTAATGAGAGAAAAGAAAGAAGGAATGTCGACTCAACAAGGCTCCGAGAGCCCTAGCAAAAGATCTTCCCCCAAATCATGTGGCACTAGTAAGATAAATAAACCTATGGTTACTAATAAAAGGACACCTACTACAAAGACCACTTCTGACGAGAAAGTTAAAAATAAGTGCCATAATGGGGAAGTTCCAAAACAATTGACAGTAGGTTCTAGATCGGGAACGTTTTTAAAAGATGAACCTACGATTCTTAAAAAAGCAGACATTAAATCTTCTCAAATTAACACTTAAATCCATGAATTGGTTGCTATGTAAGTTTTTGTACGTACATAGCGCCATTAGTTTAATGATTATACATATAAAACTATCTTTAACCGCAAACGTGATAACTCCAACCGCGAAATCATATTATGTGTAAAAAAAAACCTAGAGTTATAAATAATTTTAATTTAAAGCAAGTTGCAGTTGACATTAATTATTAAAGGAAATATATTTAAAATGCATTTATTAGGTATATAGAAAGTGCTATGATTTTGTTGTAATGTTGAAAAAATGAAATATGGCCCTAGGAATATGTAAGTTAAAAATTATTATATTTCATTTTTTCGATTATCTTGATCTCTGACAGTGTGGAAATATGAGTTTTAAAGAGGTTTTGAGTGTCTTTCAAGTTCAATTAAAATATTATGTAATTAGAGGATATCAGAAAAAAATATCACTTTCAATCATAAATGCAGCTAGCTTAATATCCCACCCAATTTTCAACCAATGTATGCATTAATATATCATAGTATTACACACTGCATATTCATAGAATGTAGATGTATCATGGCCAGTTTTATGGTATCTTTAGACAGACCTTTCTTTCTTCCACATTAAAGAGCCATATTATCCAAAATTGTTTCGTAGAAATATTTACTAATTTTACTAGTTGCAATATATAAGTAATTGTAAAGTAATTATTTCTTACCATTTAATGTTGCCATCTTACAAACTAATTCTTATTGTAAGTAGAACTCCGTTTATTCTCCAATGATCCTTAATAATGAATTATACGTAGTTATTGTATTTATTTATTAAATTTATATCTCTATTTTGCAATGTACATTTCTATGCAATCTTTGTATCTAGTCATTTATATATTTTAAATATTTACTTTTATGTAATGTTAATAAATAACTCGATATAATGTTAAAAAAAATCGTTTAATTCTTTTAGTCATCATTGTTTACATAAATTTTGGTATAATAGAAGTAGATTAAAATTTTTTATAAAATATCTTTCATACTTTATTCACATTTCTTTTTACATATATATAATATACAATTAAGTTTTATACATCTAACAATGTTCCACGTGGTCTTGTTCTTTTTGGATCTGCTTCAGGTGGAGGCATAGCTTTTCGTTTATTCATTCCTTTCCTCTCTAATTGTTTTTCTATTATTCGTGCATTATTAGCATATGAATCAGCAACTTCTCTCTGTAAATATAAAATATACGTTGAATACATACAATTTTTTCTTACAGAAGAAAAGTACAAATATTAAATGGGTTTTTTAGTCTTAAATATTAGATTTATAGTATATTTATAGCGTATTTTCATTACACACAATGTTAGCATCATTTTGTAATATTTCATAATTTCTTTCAATTTATTTAATAAAATTTAGAATAAGTTTTTTTTATCTAAATATCTGTCTTATTTCAAATAATACATGACAAAAATATATCTTTACCTAGGTAAACATCTTTTTATATATAAAATCGATAACTTACTGCTTCAATTTCATCTTCTTCTTCATCAATTGTAGAAACAGTAACAGAACTGAATTTTCCCATATTCTTTGTGTGTTTTGTTACCATTATTTTCTTTGGTTTTTCAATGGCTACTTGATTATATATATCTGTCATTGGACCTTCACCAGAACTTTTGATTACTGCACCTTTTACAATAAATACGATATTTGTTGCTTGGTCATGTTTATAATAAAGGAAAAGACCACATCTGTAAAGATACATACATCAAACTTGATATTGTAATTTGAAAAAAAGAGTCATAACTTGGCTCTTCAGTTTTGAAAATTATTTTCAGATGTTTAATAGAAAAGAAAACTAATGAAGATATATCAAAAAATAAAACAAAATATACCATACTTTTTACATTTTTGACGATATTGTTTTTCTATTCCTTCAGAACGTTTCAAGTATACAATTTCATCTTGCTCGCAAGTCATTTTGTGAGCATGTTTACTTCCATCAATAACTCTCGCACCATCCCTTTTTCTCAAAGGTAATTTTTCTATGGCACAATCTACAATAACAAAAAAATATCCATTGTCTATCCTTACTCGTAATTCTGAACAAAATAAATAAGGTCTATGATAAACAAAATGAACCTAACCTAAAATCAATGTCATCTGTCCACATAAACAGTAATAAATATGTAATGGTTTTTCTTCGCTATATTCCTCTTGGTCCTTCGTATCAGAACATATTATACTTCTTGAAACCACTTTTGGCATTTTTACTTAAAATCATATACTCCTCTTATAAGTTAAAAATATTACAACAGTGTTTGTTAACACAAGTTGATAATTCGAGAACTGTAACGTTTTGTTTTGAACATTATTCAAACATGTAGAACTTGATTATGCCAGAAATTGCAATCGAAACTAAATGCGATAAAAATTATTTAGCTTGAAAATAAAATTTAACTCTTCCGCATATCACAGTAATTATATTTACCACCAACTGAGATTTCTGTCACACAGACAATGCGTTGAAAATGTTTCAACTTTCGGAATATAACGTTGTATCTGAATAATAGAAAACAAATTAAATCTTATTAAAATGTTGATTCAATAAAGTATGACATACAAAAGAATTGTTGAATTTGTTAGTTTCAAGAAGTAGTGGGGATAGCGGCGATCAGTTACCAAAGCAACGTCACATCACTCCGTTCGAGATCTCGCAAGATGGCGCTGGCCGCGCGTGAGGTTAGCGACGTCTGTTGGTGAAAATCGCGTACCACGCGGAGTGAGCTAAGAGGATTTCCCCAGTCTTTCCTGTAGTCAAGAATTTCGCTCGGCTGTGCTCCGTATTCGGTCGCGGCACAGTGTTTGACGCGCAGTCGAGGGAGACCAGTCGGAGCGAGCGCGAGATGTCAATGTAGAGTGGACAATGAGTCGCACGACGTTTGTCAAATAAAAACGGTGTGTAATGTGAACGGCGAAGAAAATCGGCGTGATATGGTGCACAATCGAATCGCGATCGAGATCTTCAATTACCAGTACGCGCGCGGTAATGTGAGCGAAGAGTAGAGAGAGAGAGAGAGAGAGAGGAAAAAAGAAAAGGCTACGCGAGGGGAAAAAAGTGCAGTGACTCTAGATTTGATTGGCGGCGCACGCAGAGAGCGGTCCTCCGTGCACATACACATGTAAGTATATACAGGCATGCATACAGACGTTCATATACACAAAAGCTCATACGACAAGTCTTTCATGTCGTCTCTCTTTCTCTCCGCATTCCCGCAGTAGCTTGCACGTAGTATTTACACTTTTTTCCCCCCTCGTTTTACGCGAGATTTATGACCGCGCCCCCTTCGCACTCGATATGTTCTAAGCCACATGCTTTGTCCAACTTGTTACAAAATAGACAACCGAATCATACGCACCGGCATCCATCGGTAGAATTCTTGTCTCGACAATCGAATTTACGCACACGTACGCACATAGTTGAACTAGCGAGTAGAGAATGTAAAAAAGAGAGACAAACAGACAGACAGAGAGAGAGAGAGAGAGAAAGAGAGATGATATCGCGATGATACTCGATATTATGAATTAATAACATAAATAGCTCTCGAGCCAATTTTTTATGAATCGAATTTCGTAACTCGCGATACGTTCAACTGCTACGAACAGCAATAAAAGTTCGCTAAATTGAACGTGACCTTGCTTGTTTATCTTTCTGCAACGTTATTCAAAAACCTGAAAGTGTACATGGTACTTTATCGTATGACAAGAGTTCGAGATCGTTTTCGCGATGTGAAAATCGATTCGATTCGATAATCGCGGAGGGATTGTTATTTTCTATACACGTAAAAATCGTTGCTTCGTATGAAGTGAAATTAGCTACGAGATATACGGTTATCTTTCGAATTGTGATAAATATCGGTTCGCGTTGGCGAATCTTGTAATCGCTTATCTGTCAGCTGACGACAAGTCAGCCATGTCGTAGTTACGAGCAATCGTTTCCGCGTACGTCTGTCATGGAAGTTTTGAATCGTTTCTTTTGCAATTTCATCGTGACATCGTCAAGCTTCGAGCATTCAGGACGAATTTTGTGTTCCGGGATTGAGTGAGTAAAAGTTTGATTCATCTCAAAACGTTGGTTTTTGTGCTCCGTTTGTTCTACGTAGATTTTGGATCTTAGTCACGACAGAACATTATGTTTACGGAGTAACGATGTTTACAATGAAAGAAAATAATTGTGTAAATAAATTATAGAGAATTAACTATGCAGCAAATTAACTTTGAGCAAAATTGAGCACACGTATCGAATTTTAACATTAATAATAGTTTATCAAGCGTTCGCGTCTAGAATTTAAAAAAAGGAAAATATATAGTGTTTTACAGGATATTTTGGCTTTCGGAGAAATTTTGCGATCTTGTAATTAATTTAAATGAAAAATCGTCATTACTTCAAACTTTGTTGTAACAATCTAGTCAGCCTAAGCTTCTGTTTTCACCGACTCGAATTCGTTTTTTTTAATTGGAAAAATGTCCTTTTCTTTGAAAAAAAATTGGAAAATCTCACACATATATGTAGGAACACTGAAAAATTTTTTTTTATAACGAAATCACTGTTTCGAAGATTATAGTTTCTCATTTACAACAACCTTTCAAAATTTGCTGTATGATAGTTTTTTCATGCTTTTATTGAACTCTGAACATTGAAGTTAAACCAACATTTCGTCATCTAACCTTAATGTTTAAAGTTCAATAAAATTGCAAAAGAAAGATCATATAGCAAGTTTTAAGGAATCATTGTAAAACGAAAATTTCAATTTTCAAAACCATGGTAAATCAAGTTACAAAAAAAAAAATTGTTTTGTGTTTTTTGCGATGATGTTTGAACTCTTACAATAAAAGTACCCTCACTTTCTCACTCGTTGCATGATGTCAATGTATCTTTGAAAAAAAAAACAAACTTAAGATAGTCAAACTAGAATCATTACACTTTAAAATGAGATCAAATAGGTTTTCGCATGATTTTCCAAGTTATAATAGCTTAAACTATCATAATGTCGATGTGTTCAGTTATGCTTCTTATAATTATTATCAATTATATTACTATAATTATCATCAATTTTATATATATATATATATATATATATATCATTATTGTGTGTGTGTATATATATATATACACACCAATTATCAATTATTTTATTATGTTTCAATTAAATTAAATATGAGTACAATACATATATATATCCATTATTATATATATATAAATTATTATCAATTATATTACTATAATTATTATCAATTTTATATATATGTTATCCTTATTTAGAATTATTACGTATAAATATGGGCACGTAATAATATAATACTATTTGCAATAGTTTAAAAAAAGGAGAAATAATGAAATCCGATTCGATCTTATGTAACCATCTTTATTGGTGACTGAAAAAAAAGGGCTTCTGTGTCAGTCAAGAAGTTCTGTTTGAACTAATTCAATTCGACCAATATTAGCGGCCATCATTTTCTTAATAATCCTACGTACACGTAATTGTTAACAGAAACAGCGCAGAATGACAAGAAAGTCAGAGTTTTTTTCACAGAGATATAGAGAGAGCTGAAGAGTGAAGCTATATTTATTTTTTCCGCGCAATACAAAGTGCATTCACACGTCTTGCGCACAATGATCGAGACACTCGATCTATCGGTATTGACGGCCCTCGAAGGACAGCTGCCCGAGTGAAAGAACTTCTGTTTAGCTAGACTAGCCTGACCAAACAAGCCTTGGTTTGATCTATCGTCTCATTGCAGCACGCTATGCTTGCTATTTCTCATAAAATTGCAGCTGCAACTGTTTGCCAATAAATTCTATACACGCAGCGTTGTGCGATTCTCTATTTTCTGAGGGCTTGGCTTATTATTGTACGATTTCTTTTTTTTTTTTTTACAAAATTTCAACGTGTAGCGTCCGAATATTAATTCGTAATCACTGTAGCGGAGGTCACAATTTTTACAGTTCAAATTTGCCAAATGTTTGGTCGAGAATCACCGTCGAAAGTCGCAGTTAGAAAATAAAGAATAATGGAGTAATGTTAAAGTTTGTTCAAACAGGAACGAGATTGAAATATAAAAGTTCGAGGATCGTGTAAGGTCAACGAAGACCTTATAAGCCAGGATGCGTGCAGCGTATGAATTGGCATACGTTCCCTGTCGCGTTCGTGCAAACAATTTTTATTTTTATGATTGTGTAACGTAGGTAGCCTAAGCAGTGTCGTGTGTGGGTCGCGCGTACCGCTTTGTCGCAGATAAAAGCCTCTCTCCTCTCTCTCTCTCTCTCTCTCTCTCTCTCTCTCTCTCTCTCTTTCTCTCTGTCGTTTTTCGCGTGGTCGACAAAATTCAAGCCTCGTCGTCCGTGCGCTTAAATAGCGCCTGGACTCGCTCCTCTTTAGGGAACCTCGGCAAGGAACCTGCAGTTCCTATCAGATTGGAATATTTTGTCCACGATTCGTGGAAATCAATCATCATGTTCATTGTTTTCACGTGTCTCGCGACGATTATTTAGAATTTTATTTTTTATAGCTTTGTGACATATCTTTAAACGATCAATCTTCCATTGCGAGGGGAAATGTTTGCCAAAGCGACAATTAGGAAATTAGAAAATTCTTTAATGTTGGACAGATAATGTTGTTTGTAAATTCAAATAAAATGTTGGACAGATAATGTTGTTTGTAAATTCAAATGGTTAAAGAGCGAATTTAAGTTTTCGATTGATCACAGGCGAGTTTATAAAAAAATAAATTTGATACACGTAATATACAGTTTCACAATATAAACTGAACATTGGTTCATTATATATATTGTGAGTATACATGTAGTCGATATATTACATAGACTGTATAGTTCGTTATAGTCTATATATTGGCTAAGAGTAAGAATAAGAATTATCTTACTTTTTTTTCTGTTATATTCTTATACTTTCACGTAGGATGAAAATTTTATGAGTGAAAGAAATTTCTTTGCTGTAGAATAAATATTTGAAGCGATGAAGCTACCAACTGCGAGTTTATTTGAGCTATTGAAATATTGGATAATTTTCGTTGAACAATAATGTTTCCACATAAAAGTAAAAATGTATCATCCTTCTTCCCTTTTGAACAGTTGAGAATGAATTTCCTTCTTAGAAACAAATGTTGTTGAAATTATTGTAAAAGAAATCTAGATAATTTCACGATACAATACTTTGGAAGCCTTCTCAAAGGAATAAACATCAGTCATTAAATATTTATGAAAATTTCGTTTCTGGAAACTTTTTCTATTAAGAAAAAAAATTCATGGTTTATCATTTGGAGATTGCCAGATGTTTCTGAAAGTGAATTCGATCAAAGAAAACGAGAAACTTCGCAATTCCTTTGAGATGGAACAAGCAAGAGGAGAACGATTCATTCCGTTTGAATTTTCTTTTCGAGAGAAGATTAATAAGAGTGGAATTTATAACCGAGGAAATTTTCAAACTTTCTGATATTGGATTGGATCGTTTTATTTGAAGAAAAGTGAAAGTAACAGTAATTGTACATTCGGTTGTGGTCGAAGATTGCATGCTCTTACCAGTAATGATTTCAATATGATTTTGCATTTTATTAGTTTCAAAATGATCGAATAAACTGTAAAAACCCTTCA